CTGGAGTATGTGGGGAACACGGGGAGCCTCGGTCCCACAGCTCTCGGACCCCGCCCCGTGGAACCGCCCAGGCGCCCACAGCCTCAGTTAGCCCGCCAGGCCCAGTTACCCCTTCTGCTTTTCCCCTTAGTCGCCCAGACGAACCGCTGCAGCCAATAACTGCTCGGTATTCCTTGAGCCAATCACAGCCCTGCAAGAAGCCCTGTGCGGCCTATTAAGAGAGGCCCACGTACTCACAGACCTATCCACGCTCGGCTCCTGCGTCAGCCTTTCACCGCAGGCGGCTGGCTTAGGCGCAAGCTCCACAAACTACTCCTCCACCTCAACCCCCCCTCCCTCCCCTGGCCCCGCCCTTCTGGGGGACTCCCTTTGGGGCTGCCAAGCTGGTGGGAGCGGAGTTTGGCATCCGGGTCTTTTTGCTCCTGATTCCCAGTTTCCAAAATCTAGGCGCATAAAGGATTTTAATCGATTGTTGGATTTGTTTTGATGCAAATCGTGAGGGAGTAGGAATTCTTTCGAACACAGGAAGGCCCTAAAATTCATATTCCTCACTCCTCTTCTCCCTTCAGGAGCCTTACCCCATAACCTCCTGAACCCTCTTCTGTGCTTTTTAAAAACTTCCACCTAAAATTGCACAAGTACTTAGTAAAATAATGGTGTATTGTCTGCCTGTTAAAACTGTGATGGTCTTTAATCCAAAAGGTATGTCTTATAGGTCACGGACTTTTTTTTTTTTTTTTTTTTTGGAGAGATTTTCACTGTAGGGCGTGTGTGCTCGCCAGACAGACAGAGAGAGACATAGAGACAGAAAGCGAGAAATCACCCCCCAGGGGGGATGGTCACGCTGCAATCCCTTCTCCTCCATTCTCCTCTCGGGATCTTGGGCACGCACACGTGCCCGGCGTGAGTTTTAAGCCACCGGGTCCGGGACACGAACCGCGGTCGACTACGTGGGAGTCCAGCGACATAGCCATTACGCTAACTGCTGGTTCCCTAGGTCACGGACTTTTGAATACCCTAGGCCTGGCCTGAGTCCTAACTAGGTGCTCAATGAAACATTTGTCAAATAAACGTACCACTGTATGTATGTTAGTGAGGAAGCATTTATAACCTTTCCCCTATCCCTTCTCAAAGAAATTGACTGGTGTGTGGAGGGAGGGGATGTGGAGTTGTTGTAAAGGGGTTTTCCTCATGGACTTTATAACCTGGTTGAAGACATAAGCACTGCCACGTAAAACAATCAGATCTTTTCTAAGCAAAAGGTACAGAATTTGTCTCAAGACATTTTTTAAAAATGGATATCTTAAATGCAAATATAGCATTTGCTATACTTGGGTCAGGCTACAATATACATGTATTCCTTATGTAATAGAAAAGATAAGTTGGTTTCTCTGAGGTACAATACTTTGACCTTGGTAGGACATCAAATAGGTTCAGGTTCTAAACTGGTTATCTTTTTACTTTCCCATGCTCACTCACATCTAATATGTACGTTAAATGAGCATCTGACTTAACTTGAACATTAAGGACGTTCCCTTTTTCACTTCCTGTCCTTTATTGCACAATCAGGAAGAAAAGTACATGTGCTTAAGTATTGGAAATTACTGCATATTTAAGTTCCAGATCTTAGGCAATTAGGTCTTTGCTCAGTGCACACTTTTTCTTCTTCAGCTTGAGATGAAAATTCTATGTAGGGGGACCAGCAGTTAGCATACTGGCTATGTCGTTGAACTCTCATATAGTTGACCGCAGTTTGAGTCTCAGACCCGGTGGCTTAAACTCACGCTGGGCGCATGTGCATGCGAGTCCAAGATCCTGAGAGGAGAATGGAGGAGAAGGGATTGCAGTGTGGCCATCCCCCCTGGGAGGTTATTTTTTGCTTTCTGTCTCTCTGTCTTTCTGGCAAGCACATGTGCCCTATAGCAAAAACAACAACAACAACAACAACAACAACAAACAAAAAAACAAAAACAACAACAAAAAAACAACCAACCAACAAACAACAACCAAAAACTCTCCAAAAAAAAATTCTATGTAGGAATGTTTTTGGATAAGATGCTCACTAGATATTTTATTATATATTCATAGAATATTCAAACTGTGACCATTATGTAGAGCAGTGGAGGAAGCAAAGATCCAGAGAGATAGAGACTACTCTGTGGTCACAATGAGAGTGATCAAGCAGGGACTAGAAACCCCCAGAGTCTGCTAGCCAGTGCCTCCCCCTCCCTGAAATTTGGTCCCCTCTAATTCATGTGAAATAAAGAAGTAAAGAAGTATCTGCTTCAGCTTTCTGATGCCTATGGAAGCTCTGTCCCACAGTGGTGCTGTTCCTCTTAATTAAAAAACAACATAACAAAAGTAATTTTAGAGAAACAATCTCTGAAACTCATTGTTTTGAAGTATTTGCTAATGAGAACTGCAAACATAAAACCAAATCTGTGCCAACAGTGATCTTTTTAAGGACCCTTAAACAATAGTGAAGATAAAGTTGCCTGCCTGTTCACTCTCATCCCATAATTACCTAATCACACCAAAAAAAAAGGAAAATTAAATTTTAAAAACTGGGGACTTAGAAAGCCAATAAACAAAGCTAGTGCTAATACTAGGACTCTCTCATGCTCTTTCTTTGTCTCTTACTCTTTTTTTCCTTTCTCCCTCTCCTTTACCACGAATTCTCATCGCTACTTCCTTCTACAAACCAGCTCTTTACTTACTCATCAGCATATACATGACTGACTCCCACACCCCAATTCCTCACAGATTTGCTGTTCAAGTGCATGCTACAGTCCTTTTGTATCTTATTTCGGACTCCCAAGGGAGATAATCAGATAAATTGATGGTCAGTCTGTGGCTATAGGTGGCTACGCATTCTAATTTAATTGCTGCAGCTGCAGGAATGAATGCTATACTACAAATGTGGATGGGGAGCAGGTCGTGAAAAGGGAACATGTGCTAGCAGCATTAATGTTGCAGAGCCTAGGCAAGAAGGCGATTGTTTCTCTGCCTCTATATCACTTAGGCCTCTTTTTTTTTACTTTAATTTAAACATTTATTTCTTCCCTGAGAGATGTAAAAAGAGGGAGGGGGAGAGAAAGAGAGGCACCTCCTAACAGGATCTTCATACCACAATCCACCCCCAGCCTCAGCCAGGCAGGATCATGGGCACTTGCATATATATACCTGGCAGGTAGAAGGAGACCTCAGGACACAAACCCAGGACCCTCCATGGTTTCATCATTGTGGAATGTTGCATAACTGCAGAGCCACCGTGCCTGGCCAGGGACTTCTTTTCTATAGAAGGCTGCCCTTCATGTTCAGCTTAATGTCTATATTCATTTTTTTTTCGGGGGGGGGGGGAAGGTTTTTGTTAAAAGGCGG